TTATTATTATTATTATTAATTATTAATTATTAATTATTATTATAGTTCGTTTTTGTTTGTTTATCTCTTGATTACCTTCTCTCATTCGTTCTTCCGTTAATTAGTTAATTTTTTCTTTGTTCGGCACGTGTGTTCAAAGTCGTTAGGTTCCCACGACCACCCCACTCCGCCCCCCCCCCCGCCATCGTAACGGTCGATTCATCCATCCCGTATTCTGCAAAACGAATCGCAATTATATTTCACACGTACTCGAAGAGCTTCATTTTACCTCTCTCGCTACTTTTACGTGTGTAAGTTAAATAGTTGTTGTTATTATTAGTTCATGGGTGATAAATGATTTTTGCGCAATAATGGAAGTGCACGGCCGACTATTGTTATTTTATGTTTGTTTCAATGAACATAAACAATTCATTATGCTTGTACATTGAATGCCAATAATACCTTTTTACCATTGGTTTTTCAACTTTGACAATTATGTATGCAGATAAGGATACAAATTCACTGTGTGCCTTTATTATTTTTTTATTGACTTTTTATATTTTTTTAGTATTATTAATAATTTTCGTGGTCTAGGCGTAGAATATAATAGAGGTATCGGTGAAACAATGTAGACAGTATGAAATTATGAACTAAAACAATAGTTGCACAATTATTATAGAGACTAACTGGCTTTGGGTTAAAAATGCAATTAAATTTAACTAATTGTTTCCTTTAAAATGACATTATTTTTAAAAAGCTATTTGCTCGAGAAACTTGTGAAATTAAAGCTGGTTATTTTTCAAGTTAGTTTGTTCTCCAGCAATTTTTGTATTTCAAATTAGAATGGTCACGTGATGAAAATTGAGCAATCAAATGATTACGGTCAAATAAATATTTTTAACTTTCTTTATTCGCGTATATTACAAAGAGCGTTTATTTTCTTTTTCTTTTTTTTTTTTTTATTATGATATTTAAGTTATATAGCCAATATCCTTTTAAATAAATAACATAGTAATTCAATGTTATGCGCTTCGTGTCTTATGACGCGTGAAAAATTAATAAAAATTAATTTCCATTTTCCCTTTTAATTTACCTTATAAAAAAGATATGTAGCAAACGTGCGCTCGGCATTAGTTTGTTCTTCTCTCTCTCTCTCTCTCTCTCTCTCTCTCTCTCTCTCTCTCTCTATCGCTTTTATTTTTTTAAAGAATCTTTGTTCTTAAACTTCAAACTTCGTAAATCATAATAAAATTTTGTAAACAATCCCTATTCTGTTATCAGTGAGAATTATTGCTTACAACGTCAACAAATCTCGGAGTAAATGACCCCTGTCAGTCTAATTTCCTTAGTTACTTAAGTTCAGTCTTTCCCACCCCTATTGATCTTGCATCTATTTTTGTCCACCTGGTCTTCAAAATAATCGCAAAGTTCGATAAAAATACCTGGTTAACGTTTCTTTTCTTTGTTTCCCTTATTTCATTTTGGTAGTTTATTCATTTGTTTTTTTGCTTTTTAAATTAAATGAAATTGAGAAGATGAGTGAAAGAGGAAGGTTAATGAATAGCTTTGCCTATTATGCTAATTAAATTTGCAAACTCTTGCAATACGTCAAGTAATATGGATTTATTTTGAAAAGGTAAAAGGGCATTTTAATCTCGAAATAAAAGATCTTCTATTTATAAGCAAAAATTAATATAATGCGGCTTGTCAATGCAATTGTAAGAAACTTTTTCGTACCTTTTTAAGAAGCATCGAGCACACACATACACACACGCGCGCGCACACACACACACACGCACACAAAAGATTCAAGCTTTAATATAAATTATTTTTTACGATATATGCAGCTATTAATTTCTGGTTAAATGAATTGCCAGGGATGCGCAACTACAAATGTCACGTGAAATCTGGATAAATTTACTTCTTACTGAAAAAGTGTTAATTAATATTTTGATCGATTTTAATTTAAAATCGTCAGACTATTTCATGCCAAAATTTTGCATAAAGAAAAATAACAAATAATTATCCAATAGTTGACGGTTTATTGAAATTCTTAAATTATTTGCATAGCCCAAGTATTCGATTAATGATAAAGTATGTAGAGAAAACGTTGGTGAGTTGGCAAGAAGTTACAAAGTTCCCAAATGAATTAGATAAAAGAGAGCTTCAGTTAGACGTAATTTTTCAGCGGAGCAAATTGAAAACTTTTTTAAAATAAAAAGCCATTATCAAATATTTATATTTTACATTTAGTCCGATATATTACGCTAGCGAGTGAATGAAAGCCTTTGTATTTTCGGAAGTCTGGATACTCGGGGCCGGTCATTTCTGTTTTATACATTCGGACAAACCAAAAATAAATCCGCTATAACGTTCGAGGCATTCCTTTAGGACTCATTCTCTACTGTATGGATATTCCAGTAAATGGAATGAGCCGAACTAAGGAGAGGTGAACACACTCGGCATTGAAGGGATATGGAGGGAAAGCGAGAAGTTATCTCGTTAATATTACGTAAATTATTTACAAGGAGGAGAAAGAGACAGTGGAGGGTACGTTGATACAAGCTCGATGTGCCATTTGAAATCAGAAATCAGAAGAATCTCTCTCTTTCTCTCTGCGCTCTTAACGGATATCCGTGATATCCTGGAATCGAGTGCCCAGTCGAATATCATTCACACACGCACGCGCGCGCGCGCGCGCACACAAACAAACAAACAGACAGACAGGCGAACACAGAGAGAGAGAGAGAGAGAGAGAGAGAGAGAGAGAGAGTAAAGTAACCCGCTGGCAAAACTCGAGAAAAGGAAATGTCGTTGCATCGAGAAAATTGTCCTTGTACGGGAGTGAAATTAGATGAATTTAGGCGACCTGACGTCAGTCCGTCAATTTCCCATGGAGGGATACCTCCTGGCGATCGAACTGCTCTGCCGTTTCGAGGTCTCCTTTCCATATACAAGAGCCGTCCCTGCAAACAGTATTATTCTTGTCTCATTTGTTTATCTACGAAGGAACGCGACGCTCGAATGATCGTTAATCATATGGGGATGGTGGAAGGAGAATGATTTATCGTCGATGCCCCGGCGCATTTTGTTTCGCATCGCTCCAGAATCAGCATAAGACTGGCGGTAGGCGGATTGGTTTTAGGATTTGACCGCGGGGGGGG